GTTGCCCAGGACGCCGCAGCACAGACGTCCGCCAGTGGCACGCCTCTCATTGCCGCCCAGGATGTAGCAACACTCCTGGTGGAATGGCACACGATCCCAAGGGGAGCCACTGCACCCACTGCCGCATAAGCCATCGCAATGGCATCCACGACCCAATGCGACAGCCTCTGCTTCGAAAGGGCCCGACCCCTGTTCACACCTCCGTGACAGACAAACAGCTGGTTCGACTGCCGGACAGTGTTTGTGGCCACAATATAGAGCTGCAGTGCCCGGACCGGGCACAGCAAATTCGCCCGCCGTTGTTCCTCCGAATGAAATTGGGTAGGGAAATACGCCCCCAGCTCGACTGCGGCATTCATGTAGCCAGCGAGCAGAACCTTGGGAAGAAAGGCGACGTTGGGCCACAGCGTCACCCCCGACCCATCTGCCTTCCACCGCAGGCAGGCGGGGCTGATGTCCATTGCGTGCAGCTTACTGACCCGTTTAGCTGACGTCACTGCCAAGAGAAAGGCGGTCTTCACAGACACCACTGCCAATGGGGCGGTAGTCATCGGCTCAAAGGGTGGCCCACACAGGGCCTGCAGGACCAGGGGAAGGTCCCAAGCAGGTGCCGGCCTGCACAAGGCAGGACACAACCTTCTCACGCCCCGCAGAAACTGGGTCACCAAACAGTGAGCCCCAATGCTCCTGCCATCCACCAAGAGGTGGTTGGCCGAAATAGCCGCCAGGTGTACCTTAAGGGTCGAAGCGACCCAGCCCTTGTCAAACAGGTGCCGGAGGTACCGCAGAACCTCATGCAGGGAACAAGAACCAGGGTCCACGTCCCTGCCGGAACACCAGGTAGAGAACCGCTGCCAACAGCGAGCGTACGTGGCCCTTGTAGACGGAACCCTGGCACTATCCAGCACCTGCTGGATGGAGGGCTCTAAGCCGACTGGGGGCTGCCTGCCCCTTTCAATGGCCACACCGTGAGCTGAAGATGATCTGGGGACGGATGCCAAATCCTCCCCTCCATCTGAGACAGGAGGTCCCGTCTCGCCGGCAACCGCCACGGCTCTCCGTTCAGCAGACTGAGAAGCAGTGGAAACCAGATCCTCATGGGCCAGTCTGGAGCCACCAGAAGGACCTCGTGTGATGAGTCCCTCACCCGATGGAGGGTTGGTAAGATCAACGGAGACGGCGGGAAAGCGTACAGCCGAACCAACGGCCAGGCATTGGCAAGGGCGTCCATCCCCAGAGGGGCGTCGACCTCTGCCAGGGAGAACCACGAGGGGCAATGCGTGCTGCTCCTCGAGGCGAACAGATCCACCTGGGCCTCTCCGAACTGATGCCACACCCTCCGCACCACCTGAGGGTGCAACCTCCATTCCCCCGGGGGAAGACCCTGCCGGGACAGGCAATCCGCCACCGAGTTCCTCCACCCCGGAAGGTGCAGCGCCCTGATGGAGGCCAAGCGAGGGTAAGCCCAGGTCAGCAGCGTCTGAGCCTCCCTCAACGATCGCAATGACCTGGTGCCCCCCTGATGGTTTATGTGGAACACCGCCGAGGTGCTGTCCATTCGGATGAGCACGTGCTTGCCCCGCAGAAAGGGCAAGAAGCGCCTCAGCGCCAAGTAGACGGTCTTCAACTCCAGGACATTGATGTGAAGCCGTGCCTGACGGGGGCTCCACAACCCCTGGACCGACCTGCACTGCCAATGCGCCCCCCACCCCCGGGGTGACGCATCCGTCGTGACCACCTCTCGTCTGGCGGGAACCGCGCCAAGCGGGACGCCAAGACTCAGGTAGGCGACATCGTTCCAACGACGCAAAAGAGCCACACAGCTGCTCGTGACCTCCAGCTCGACCCGTCTGTGTCGCCAGGGATCCAGGCGAAAGCCGTTGAACCACCTCTGCAAGGGCCGAAGGTGGAGTAGCCTGAGAGGCACCAGTGCAGAAGCCGAGACCAGCATCCCCAACAGTCGTAGCCACACCTGGACCGGGGGTGCCGCCCCAAGGCGAAAGGCCCGGAGCAAGGACCGAATCCAGACCCTCCTCTGCTCGGTCAGCCTCGCCCGCATGGCCACAGAATCTATGGCAATGCCGATAAAATCCACATGCTGAGTCAGAACCAGAGAACTCTTCTGCAGGTTCACCATCATCCCCAGCGCCTCGACGTGGGCAAGGACCCTGGCTATGGCCAGACACACTTCGCGACACTACGGCGCGCAGACGAGCCAGTCGTCGAGTTATGGCAGGACCTTCAACCCCGCCCGACACAGGGGACTCAGGGCTGCCTTCACGCACCGCGTGAAAACTCGGGGGGTGAGAGACAGGCCAAATGGCAGAACCAGAAACTGGTACACCCTCCCGAGGAAAGAAAACCGCAGGTACTTCCTGTGCCCCGGATGGATCGGGACATGGAAGTATGCGTCCTTGAGATCTATGGTCGTAAACCACTCTCCCGGACAAACCACCTGAAGGACATCGCGAGTCCGAAGCATGTGGAAGGGCAGCACCTTCAGGAACCGATTGAGACCCCTGAGGTCCAGTACCGGCCACAGGGGCCCGTCTTTCTTCGGCACCAAGAAATGCGTCGAATAAAAGCCGTCTGCCTGCAAATGCGGCGGAACGACCTCTATGGCCTGTTTGTCCAGGAGAACATCTATTTCCTGCATCAGGATGCTGACCCGTGCAGGATCTGTGACCGAAGTCACCCTGACCCCCGAAGGGGGTGGGGGCCGACGGCGGAACTGCAACCTGTAGCCCTGGGACATAGTTCGAACCACCCAAGCGTCTCCGCATTGGGCCTCCCAGAGGGCCAGGTGCTGTGGTGTAAATCTGCCTGCCGCCGGCCCACAGCCCTCAGGCCGTGTCCCGACGCCTGTTTGGGGCCCTGGGGGGGGGGGGGGGGGCGGCGGCCCCTGTCCTGCCCCGAGGATCCCCGGGGCGGTGCCTGACCTGCCCCCGAGCGTCTCCAAGTCCCTGCCGCAGCCGCGGTCTGCTGGGCGACCTGCAAGGGGGCGGCCAAACGAAACCGGCGCCGAGGGTCCCGTGCCCCTCGTGGCCTGGACTGTGGCATGGGGAGGACCCGTGCCCCGCTATGCCCACTCCAGGCCTCTGCGGCTTGTCTGGACTGCCGCCGACGTTCCAACGCCCACTCAGCCTCGGGCCCGAACAACTGGCCCGGCACCACGGGCAGACCGCGCAGGCTCTGTCGGTAGTCATCCGACACCGGGGCCTGCGCCAACCAGACCTGACGGCGAGCCACTAACAGCGTGCCCAACAACCGACCAAGCTCCCTGGACATCAGCCCAAATGCTTGCAGGGCTGCGTCGTTCGTATCGCCCAGTGCCATCCCCGCTGCGCCCGACTGCAGCATCTGGGACTGGGCTAGCAACAGCAACACCAGCGAATTGCTGGTGCGTGCCATCCGTTCCCCGATGTCGTAAGCCCGGCACAGTAAGCTGTCGGTCACCCGACACTGGGTGCTCGGACAGCGGACCCTGTCCCTCAATACCTCATCCGAGGAGAGCACCAGAGAGGCAACGCAGTGGTCCACCGGGGGCATGCGGTCCAACCCGTAGGTTCCTGCCTCCCGCATCGATGCCAGGGTCCTGGCATCCCTACCATGGTGGGAGAGCTGTCTCGGGTCCCCCCAGCACCGCTGCAGCTCCTCCACAAAGGCCGGCGATGGTGGGCCCTGAAACGGGGGCGCCGCCAGAGCCCGGCGGAAGAAGGGATTCCCCGCCGGACGGGCCACCGGCACGTCGTCCAGTCCAATCCTGGCCAGTGCCGCTCGCAGAATCGCCCGCAACTGACAGGGGTCCTCCGCCAGCTCCGAGCTTGCTGAGCTATGGAGAGACATCCCCGAGTCTCCGTGACCTCCCAGGCCCGGGGGCTCCACTACCAGCCCCTGACTACGGCCCGGAGAGGGGCCCTCCTCCTCGAGGGACTGAAACTCAGAATTTGAGGCCCTCACAGAGATCAGGTCGTCCGAGCCCCCCTCGTTCGGGGCTCTGGTCAGCAGCGCTTTGAGCTGTTCCACCTCCTCCCGCAAAGAGTCCACTTCCTGGCGAGAGGGATGCGCCACACGCCGCTTCTTGCGCCTCGGGTTGCCGCGTTCCTCAGCCGGTCTATCCCTCCGTCTCCCGGAACACGGTCGAGGGACACCAGAGGGCGGCAGGTCTGACTCAAACAGGAGGCACTCTACTTGACGTAGCCTGTCCTCCCGCACCGCCAGCGGCAAAATGCTGCAGTTCATGCATGGGTCAGTCAGCGCCTCTGAGGTGACCGACGCCCAGGCACTTAGGACACAAGTCGTGGCCGTCCTCCACCTGGAGGGGAGCCCCGCATGACGTACACGCCAACATCCCTACCGGTGTGGGAGACGCCAGCTACTCCACAGGAACTGAGCGAGGACTTCGAGAAAAACTGAAGAACGCGATTCAGTCCTGGAGTTGTAAAACTACGCACGTGCGTGTGTGTCGGCTAGGTAATCTGAGCGTGCCACCACCACGGTCAGAACGTCCAGCCCCACTCACCGGTAACGTTGTAAAACAACACACGTGCGTGTGTGTCGGCTAGGTAATCTGAGCGTGCCACCACCACGGTCAGAACGTCCAGCCCCACTTACCTGTAGCGCTCGCCGGCCGCACCCACCTCCCCTTTCCACAGGGGAAAACCTGCGACCGCCAGCGAGCCCTATCCGAGCCGGCAGCGGCGGTCCGAACGGCGCCGGCCGGCCGCACCACCCGCACTCGGTAACGAATAGCAGATAAATAACAGCGTCAATCCACCGCCCCAGAGGGCTCCTTCGAGCGCTCCGACCACACGGTCCCGGGCAGGAAGACGCCAAGTAAAAACAGTACTCACCTCTCAAGACCGATAAGATCCGAATCACGGACTTACGGAGCGATTGACCAGCGAAGCACGCCAGGTCAACAGCGAGAAGATCAAAGAGACCCGAACGTAGCTATCGGCACGTAATTTATAGACTCGCGACCAGGTGCGCTACGTGTCACGTGCGTGACTTTGTTTACATTAGTACTCGACCTGCGCAGAGCGCGAGGAGATACATCCACTCTGTTTACTGCCACTGGCAGTCAGGAGGGAACGAAACAGAACAGAAGAGTGAGAAAAAATTCACCCCCCCTCAGAGTTGTCATGAGTATAAACTAGATAATTTAGACAAAAAACATGTTTTGGTTCCAGGCTGTAAACATGTTTATTTCTGCTGTGAAATTGGCATTTTTAACATGGGAGTCAAAGAGGATTTGCTCGCTTCTGGTACCAGCTCCCAGCGGATGAGGGTGGAACTGCAATTTTTCTTACTTCCGGGATGGGACCATTTTTGGAGCCGCATTGTGGGGGCTTGGGAGCAGCAGAGAGGTTCACACAGAAGAGAAAGACATCAGACAATGGGACACAATGAGCTGTGGATCGTTTAAATACCTGTTTTCTTCCCATGCTGTCACTGCTCATAAACAGCTGACCGGAGCAGGCTGCTCGTGTCAGCATCCACAGCAGCAGCAGCTTCCCTCCTGCATCCCTCTCAGCTCTTAGCATCACTATCACGGTGCCACGGTACCGGATCAGCCTGTAGCACTTCCTCCTCCGCCTCTGTAGCCGGGACCGACTACGTCCCGTTGCTCCAGTCCCGCCAACCTGAGTTGAAGTGACTCGGACGGCAGGCTGGTCCCCGGGTGGAAGCTCTCACCGCCGGATAGCAGGAGCTTACCAGACACCTCCTAGAGTCCCGCAAAGGTATCTGATGTCTTCTGTGTCAACACGTTTAATCATAAAAACACTCATTATTGTTCAGACTTTGGTGCTATGCTAAGTGTTCGCTTTCTGACCCCTACGCTAAACTAGCTTAAGAACACGGTTATTTTAAAGCGTTTAGCAATAAATGACAATCTTTTGCATACTACAAAATGGAAATAAACACATTTCTCAAATATATGGATTGTTTTCGTTGTTTCGTCGTGTGTTTAGTACACAACCTGCTAACATATTGTGGTAAAATTAGAACTTAACCGGAATGTTATGCTGTTTGTTACCAGGCGCCACGTTTGTGTTTTGGTAAGTCAAGCTAATCAAAACGTTAAGCGAAGCAAGTCACATTTTCACGATTACATTTACATATTTACATTTACAGAAACTACTTTTGAGCCGAATTGTTAAGTGGGCTCTCGTTGTTTGATTAAACGTTGAGTCGTTGTTTGAAAGTGAATATAAATGTTTTATTGGCATTAGAAACCTAAAGAAGTCAGTTTGCTCGGCCGGAGCGTTGTGGTGCAGATAGCGCTAAGCTAAGCTAGGTGGCTAGCCGTCTAATTAGGTCAAAAACACTGGTGATCTGATGCTTGATGCTAAAAACATCGTGGCTACGCATCAGTAGCTGACGGCTTTTCTGTTCTCGAGCTTTTACTACATTCATATTATCCCTCATATTTTGGCAAACCACTGTCTAATTATTGTGTTTGTTACTATTTAGATGTAATACCGAGTATTTGGGCTACATACGGCTGTAAACGCGACGATGATGATGATGACGGTCATATTGATGGAGTTTGATGCTCGTATAGTCATGAGGCAGCTGCTGATGAAGAAGCTCAATCATGACAAATAAAAACGATCCCAAACCTGCTGTAAACATTGAATTAATGACATCCATGTTCAGAGTTTTTATTTTAAATATGTTAGCCAAATAAAACCAGAATACAGAAAATCAGGTCATCAAGCTTGTGGGATTGGTGGAACATTTGGGCCTAGCAGGGTCTGAAACATAAACAGCCTCTAGTGCACGCAGGCCACACACACACACACACACACACACACACACACACACACACGCACATCTTGCCACATGAACCGTTTTGCAAACCAACAAGCAGCACTCATGTTGCTGTATGTTAATGAAACTTTCTCTGATGGGAGATAGGTTTTATTCACCTGACTTTGCATATTTTCTATTTCATTCTAACAGCAGACTTGTGCCCAGGGTGCCTGAGTGTGCACGTTCCACCTGTCTCTGTTTGGTAGTCACCAGGGTGACACTTACCCACTAAAATCTTTTTTTTTTTCATAAAAAATACAAACAAACCTATCGACCCAGGGTTATGTACCTGATGATGTACAGAGTTGAGAAAAAGAGCTGTACAGAGAGAGAAACATCTTATGAGATAATCCACTATCAGAATGTGTTTCTCTGACCAGTGTAGGTACTGGTCAGAGCAGATCAATTCAGGTGCAAACACAACACAGGGTCAGGTGACTGAAATGGAAAGACTCATGTCGGCAGTCCTACGATTGTCATTCATGAGTCCAAATGCAGAGGGGATGAAACGGTTCTTGTGGTGAGAGGTTCTGGTTCGAATAGATCGGAGCCTCCTGCCAGAAAAGACTGTGTCCCGGACGACACGGGCCATCTGTGATTCGACCTGTAAGCCCCAATGTCCTGGAGGTGTGCAGGCCCTGCATGGAGGGGAGTTTTCAGACAATGCACACAACATACAGTACAGGCCGACAGTTTGAACACACCTTCTCATTTAATGTGTTTTCTTTATTTTCGTGACCATGACCATTTACGAAGGAGCCAACAAGTGCTAAACACCTCTGGGAACTCCTTCAAGACGGTTGGAAAACCATTTCAGATGACTACCTCGAAGCTCATCAACTAAGCAGTAATCAGAGTACAGGGTGGCTATTTAGAGGAAAGTAGAAAACAAAACATGTTTCAGTTATTTCACCTTTTTTGGTTAGGTACATAACTCCACATGTGTTCATTCATAGTTTTGATGCCTTCAGTGAGAATCTCCCAATGTAGATGGTTATGAAAATAAAGACAACACATTGAGAAGGCGTGTCCAAACCTATGGCCTGTACTGTATATACCAAGTAGTCTTTCTATGGCCGCATACTTTGCAATTTCATATTAGATATTCTATTTCTTAACAGAATAAACTTAATTGTCTTAATCTGAGCGAGTCTATAATTAATTAAATGGGTAAACTAGTAGTAGCACATTCTATGATTAAAGAAAGTAACATGTTATTATCAGGAGAGGGAGAATGTTTAAGTGGTTAGCAGCAGTGTGCTAGCCGATGGCCCCCTCCACGAGGCTACCCCAGCTCAGCAGAACACCATTGTAGCTTCTTCTGGGGAGAAAAACAGTTGGAGTGAAAATAAAGTTAACAGCTGAAATAACACAAAATAATGCAATTAGAGAGTAGTGATAGAAGAGAGTAGTAGAGTGTGGAAAGTGGTCGGTGTGTCCTCCAGCAGTCTAAGCCTATAGCAGCATAACTACAGAGATAACTCTGGATAACCTAGCCTTTTAGATGAAGGCATGTTGAAGCAGGGCAAGGGAGAGTCGTCTTAACCGACTGTACACTCCACCTCCCTCTACTCCCCCACTTGTCCAGATCTAAGCTAACATCAGATTTTAACCATAGGCCCTATCAAATAAAAATGTTTAAAGCCTGGTCTTAAAAGTAGACAAGGACAAAGCTGGGAGCTGGTTCCACAAGAGAGGAGCCTGATGGCTAAAAGATCTGCTTCGCTTCCTTTTGTAGATACTCTAGGAACCACCAGTAAACCTGCAGTCTGAGAGTGAAGTGCTCTGTTAGGAACATATGTTTATGTTTGCTTGTTTATTTGGCAGACACTTTTATCCAAAGCAAAGCACAATTGTTAACCTATAGGCCATGTTGTGATCTGTGGGGGAAAATGGAGTACCCGGAGGAAACCCATGCATGCATGGGGAGAACATGCAACTCCACGCAAAAAAGCTGCAGCCGAGTTTTGAACCTGCAACCTTCTTACTGTGAGGCAATAGTGCTAACAACTGTGCCACCATGCATATGGAACAATCAGATCACTGATGTATGATGGAGCTTGATTATTAAGAGCTTTATATGTGAGAAGGAGGATCTCAAATCTATTCTGAATTTAACAGGTAGCCAATGTAGGGAAGCTAAGACAGGAGAGATATGATCTCTCTTTTTAATTCTAATCAGAACTCTAGCTGCAGCATTTTGGACAAGCTGAAGACTTTTAACTACATTCTGTGGACTTCCTGATGGTAATGAATTACAGTAATCCAGTCTTGATGTAATAAATGCATGAACTAGTTTTTCAGCATCACTCCTGGAAAAGATGCATCTAATCTAAGCAATATTCTGGAGGTGAAAGAAGGAAATCCTACAAACCTGTTTAACATGGGATTTAAATTATGTGCCATGGTCAAAGATAACACCGACGTTCTTTACTTTGTTACTGGAAGCTAACTTAAAGCATTCAGATCAGGGTGCCAAGTGACAGTCAGAGCACTGGATCGTTCATCAGGATCTGTATTTTTTTTTAATACCAATAATCACCAACAGGTTTTGTGTTGAAATCCTAAAGATTTTCTAACAGCAGGTTAGAGGTTCTATATCAAGCAATTTTACACATTTCAGAGCGACAACGGAGACATAATTTGTTCTGAAACACAATTTGTTTGCTTGAGACAGTTTTTCAACCTGGAATAAGATGTTTGGATTTGATGAAACCCCGCCTCCGCCTGTATAAGTTCTACCCATTTCAAAACCTAACCCTAAATCCCATGGCTCATGGGCCACAAAGAAGATGATGAAATGTAACCATTCAGCTATTTGGTTAGCATTTTGGTTTTACTCACGGTTCTGGTCTCTATAGGGTGGTTTGCAATAGCTGAGTGTAACAGCAGCAGATCAGCAGATATAGGCTCTGATAAAGGCCCTTTAAAGAAATGACACACAGGAGCTGATGGCCTCTACTTACTGCGTTTACAAACAGTTGCTGTGCACAAGTAAGCACTTTAGGACTAAAAGTTCTACATAAAACAAAACATTAAACACCAAAGTCATTAATAGAACTTCAGTCCAGTTCTGAAATGTGAGAAAGATGTGTTTGTTTACACACCAGAACCTGCTTGAGTTCCTGTTTCTTTAAGCCGGTCGCGTGAGTTTCACTGCTCCATGGGTCTGGGCTTGTTTTGAAGCTGATCTCTGTGGTATAAACACAAACTAGGCATTTTTTTTTTTTGGGAAATTAGCTTCTCATTTTTCACTCACCATGACTTCTAGCCCCCTTGAGCACCAGCTACAGAAAAGGAGTGGACCCTGTGTTCAGAGTCCTGAAAGTTGGTTCTGTTGTTTGAATTTCTGTGTTAATAATGATACATTTAGATGGTGTTACTCAGAAAGTTGCTGCTCACTGGTCTGGTTTACCTGTGTTAAAAGGTGCTCTGATCTAACAGACTGAATCTACTCTCTTGTGGGCTCTTCATCTTCAACTCAGGGAACAGCGTGGACCCATTTCCTGTCTTGGGTCTCAGAACGGCGCTTGTAGGACTCAGACCGGAAACGGCACGTCTATCCTGAAGCCAACCACAAGCAGGTATCTGCTGCATTAATAATAAGGGTCTGTTTTAGGCACTTTCCATGAACATGCATATGACCAAAGAACCTCAGGAAAACCAATAGGGTCCACACACTCCTCCTAACCAGGGTAGAGACAGTCACCACCTTCAGATCTCTGGGCACCCACATCTCTGCAGACCACTCCTGGACTTGCGACATGAAGGCTGTGGTTAAGAAGGCCCAGCAGCAGCTACACTTCTTGCACATCCTCAGGAAGACCAATCCTGAGACGAAGCTGCTGCTGACCTTCTACCACTCCTCTGGAGAGCATGCTCACACTCTGTCTGGGTGTGAGGTATTCAGGTTCCACAGCAGAGGGTCCGGGTTAGTGATGAACACTGGAGCTGCCCACCCTGAAGTGCATCTCCACATTCTGCAGTCTTATAGAACCATGATTGGGACAATGTTACATTTAACTAGTACCAAGTTTTGTAACTTTTGTTTTGCGACAGGTAAATTAGTTATGTAGCTTGTAATTCTCATTTTGTAACATGCAACTTCGGTACGTAACATGAAACTTTTATGTAGTAACTTGCAGAAATAAGAAGTAGGGCTGCTCAATTAATCGAATTTTAATCACGATTACGATCTGAGTTTTGAACGATTATGAAAACAAAACAAGCCGATTATTTGCTCCTCCCACTTGCGCTGCCCTGAGTTGCAAATGAAGCGCTCCTCCCACAGTGTTGCCAACTTAGCGACTTTGATGCTATTTCTAACAGCTTTTCAGACCCCCTTCTTGACTTTTTAAATCTTAAAAGTACCTAGCGAACACCTCAGAAACATCTCTGGTAACCCTTAGCTACATTCTGGATAACTGTCGTTGACGTTTCCTGCAGGTTAGCTAAACACTCCGCCTGCGCTCCGGACCGTTCTTCAGGACATTAGGAAAGGGAATGATGCAGTGATGTGTTGGTTGCTAAAGAAACAGCTCTCAGAGTCGGCTCCCTGTTGGAGTAACCAGAGTGAGTGACACACACACCGCACCTGCGGGCTCCTGAGCCACTAAAAACGGCTAAATGTGCGCGTGCGGCGCGCTAAACACACGTGCAGCTTGCCCCGGATTACTGAGATCGGGTTGGGGGGTGCAGCTGTGGTTGGGACAATTATTACATTAACTGATGGACTTGTAAATAAATAGTTTATAAATAAGGTAGAAATAAGTTCCTCACGCTGATAAATAATAACTAATCTCTCTGAGGACACGGTGCTAGTGTACTCTCCTACAGCACCTTGACACGACTCAATAAATGTTATGCAACATTTTGTGAACATCAATTTATTTGCATTTATTTGTTATAAATGCCACTGTATAATTCTTGCTGTCAGTATTTGCAAGATATTGGTATTTGGGTCTGTACTGGTTAGACTTACATGAGTTAAACCAAGGACTATAGCCCTTGGGTCATAGACTGAGCTATAAGTATATTGGTCTTTTTATCCTGGGAATCAGGAGTTATTTTAGTGATCATCTTGTTTCTTATTTATTTTTGTCCTGATTGTGCCCTGAGCAATTTTATGACTGAATAAAAACAAATAAAATCAACGTAAATTGAAAAATCGTCCTAAATAATCGTGATCTCAATTTCAGTCACCATAATCGTGATTATTATTTTTGCCATAATCGAGCAGCCCTAATAAGAAGTACAAAACATTTTGTCCTATCTTGCTTCCAACAGGAATCGCCTTGGACAGGAATCCAAGACTCATGATTGGAGTTTTGTAACTCTAGACTGAGATGTGTGTTTCGACAGTTGTGCTTTGAAACTTGTACATTGATTGTTTTCTGCAAGTTACTAAATGGAAGTTTCATGTTAAATGTCAAAAGTTACGTGTTACAAAACGAGAAGTACAACTTACAAAATGGAAGTTACGGTTACAAAGCTTGGTACAAGTTGCATGTAATATTGTCCGAATCCCCATTCCACCCAGTCTCAGGAGAACAAAAGCCATCAACGGTGACCCCTCACACACCCCTGTTCCACCGGCTGCCCCAATTTATGTGCTAGTATCATATTTGACCACATTTTCCTGCCTCCTTGTCTTATAACAACGTCTACGGTGCATGGTGGCTCGGTGGGAGCACCCTCGGTTCTGATGTGTCTTCGGATAAAACACCAATAAAGGGCTGTTGTGTTATTCTATCCTAACTTTAAAATGAATGAAATCCTAAAGTCCAGTGTCGCTGCTTTTTGCCTTTTAGACTGAAAACAGACGAGTCACAGATTCTTCTTTCCCCTGCTTGCACAGAGAGGTCTCTGTGCAGTAAGGTCAGTAAACTGCTCACACTTAGATTCATCACAGCAGGAAATAAACAGCTGTAATAAAGTTTTAGTGTCCACCTTTTGTTTGATTTAGGGGTGTAAAGCGCTGGAGTGTCATCTAGGAACATCTGTACCAAGTATAAGTCAAAGGTTCAGGGCTGAATTGAAAGAAAGGGAGGACAAATGCAGATGTTTGAAAGAAGAAATAAAAAATCCAAGTAGTGCCAGTGGTCATTGAAACTGGGAGAGGGACTCCAAAAGACCCCAAGAAGAAACTCGGAGCTTAGTTCTAGGAACAGCTAAGACACTGAGAAGAACTGTTCATCTCCGAGGACTTAATTAGAGGACAACGACTCGGAGTAAATCCTGCAAACACCCATGACCTATATCACAGCTGTTCACTTCCAGTCTTCCTGGTCAATGAAGGACCCATCTTCTGTACTTACACCGGCTTGCATGGACCAGAAGAGAATCAAAGATGAAGGGCAGCCTCAACTCTCACCTGAATCAAGCCTTACGAACTGTTGAAATGTTTACCCGTGTTGCAAAGCAGCATGTGTGGAGATATGAGCACAAATAGCCGATCCCAACAGTCAGCATGGCGGTGGAGGTTTGATGGTTTGGGCTGGTTCTGCAGCTACAGGACTCAGAGTTAACTATGAGCTTCTCTGGTACTCAAGAGTCAGACATGGCAGCTGGAGCTCAGACCGAACCAGTCATGAAACAAAACCACGTTCCTGATCGCAGCAGCAGATCTACTGAATGCTTAATGACTTATAAACAGGATCTGGCAACGTAAAATTGTATGATGTATGACTGTGTGTGTGTGTGTGTAGTGGTTTCCATGTCGAAGTCGGCCCAGATGCCGCTGTCCAACATCACTGTGCCAAAGCCCTCCATCTCCAGGGTTCCCAGCAGCATGGAGGGCATCAACCATGAGCTGGAGAAAGTCTTCATCAAAGACAACAGTGAAAAGGAGGAGCTGAAGGTGGGTCACCTGACCTCTTCTTCCAGCTCCGAGTAATGTGCTGTTGCCTCATGTCCTTGTCTGCTTCTCTGCTGTTCTGTAGTCCTTGGAGGTTCCTGATGGGCGTCGGGCACCCTTCCCTCCCCAGCAGCGCAGCAGCAGTTCCCGTGGCATGGACACCCAGACTCCATCGGCCCCTGGGAGGTCCAGCAGCTGCTCCAGCCTGTCACCATGTCCCTCCCCAGCCTGTCCTCAAGGATCTCATGATGGCAGTCCGTACTCCACAGAGGATCTCCAGTATGATAGAGATAAAGGTAAAAGGGAGCATTAGAAACGTGAGAAACCTGTGAGGTGAATGGATGATTTTGTGCCTACTAACCCAGAATTAAGGAAAGTAACTAAGTTTACTTGAGTAGATTTAGCTCTGCTTGTCCTTTAACTTGAGCTTTTTGCGTGTCAACAAGATGTCTCAGTCTTCTTTTACACCTAGACTCTTGTTTGTGTTCAGACAGTGAAAGCAGCTCCCCGCTCCCCAAGTTTGCCTCCTCGCCCAAACCCAACAACAGCTACATGTTCAAGCGCGAGCCGCCAGAAGGCTGTGAGAAGATCAAAGCCTTCGAGGAGATGAGGTAAAGCCTGCCAGGTGCTCTGCTGCATCTGGGCTAGGTTTGGGCGATTGGACGAATTATTCGACCATCTACGATAGGCTGAGACTTTCAGTCGTGGTTTTTACAAGTGATTTGTTTATTGAGTTATTTGCCCTCAAAATGTACGACTTCCTCACAGAGCAAAGCTCACGAGTCATGTTCTCCCGCTACACAACCCGGTGCTCACACTGTACTTCCGGTAGCAACACGTCCAACCTTCAAGTCCAAAAACCCAGAGGACTCAGAGGCTGTTGTGTTGTTATTGATGTCTGTTGTCCTGCAGGCTTGCCGTAGGAGGACATGCAGGGGTTTACGGGGGTTGGTGGAGAAAGACGAAAGAAAGAAAAACAAACAATCTTTTGGGATTCATTTAATTTGACATAAACGAGATAATCCTTGTCATAATGTGTGGAGAAAAGTGTAAAAATAAAAAATGCTCAGTGGGTGGTTCTGGTACTGTTGGGTTGGGCGCTGCTTCAGCAGAGCGATACGCTCAAGTGGAATGAGCAAAATATCAAACGTGTGATCGCACAGTTGCTGATGTTGCTGGTTTTGTTGAGTGTTTATTTACCATTATTTAAAATTAAAGTGATGGGGAAATAGATCATGTGACCTCTGGCTGTGTCCAAACGCAGCAGCGATTCATTCTGTTTCCTACCGAAACTCATAAACCACTCATGGGATGTAGCGATGGAGGGGGCGTGGGCAGTAGCCTCGTCCTCCGCTGCCCGCAGATAAACGGAAGCGACGCCACCAACATCGGCGATAGCTATGATGTCGGTGGCAGTAGACGTCCAAACATGTCAGCTGATGTAAAACTAGGTCCTCTTATTCTGCATAATGAAGAACCACAAAGAAAAAAAGAATTTTAACAGAATAGAATGCACGTAGCAAAGATGTTCATAAAAAAACAAACATTTTGTTTAAATAAAATGCCACAGTGGCCGAGGCTGCTGGGAAACCAAGATGAGCCGTAGCCGTGTTTAATATGGGCCATTTTTACGTCACTATACCAAAAAACAAACAAAACTAAACAATAAGTAAGAAAACTAAATTACTAAAGTGAACATGTGCTCTGTTTCCAAAAAAAAATAAAAAATACACGTGTGTTTGCTAATCAGTCCGTGCGTGATTAGATTGCTCTAGAAGTCGCACGTGTGAATGTATCTTCCTTCGTCGTTTATTATATTCGCAGTTGGAGGTTGCCCAACACTAGTCTGGACCATTCCGTCTTCAGACCTGTCCACTTTTCTCTCCTCAGCTCCAGGCAGTCTGCATCAGCATCCGTCCCTCTCTTCTCCTGCCCCGACAAAAACAAGGTCAACTTCATCCCAACCGGTTCCGCGTTCTGCCCCGTCAAGCTCCCCGGCTCTCTGCACCTCACCCCAGCTTCAGAACCAGAGGAGGACGGGGAGAACACAGAGGCCGCGCCTGGGGCCGACTCCATCGATAGCGTCCCCACTCAGGTCTCCACGAGCACCAGCACAGACGACCCACCAGAGGAGACCAGCTTGTCCTCAGAGACTGCAGAGCTCCAGACAGAAAACCCAGCCATCAGCTAGACCTGAGCGGAGCTGGCCTCTGGTCTCGGGGACCACCACACATGACTGTCCCACCAACCAACAGGGAGGCCACTCTCTGTCTGTCCTGACCCCTTCCACCGAACCCCCTCTCCTGTCAATCACTGCATGACAGTCCCCTCATACCCACTGGCACAGACTCGCCCCGATGGTCCGTCCCACGTCCTGTACGAGGTGTCTGCCGGTCCATCGGTCGGAGGCAGGTGGGGGAGGGGCAGGCATTTTAAACTGGTAGTCTATTTCTGATTAAATTATACGTTGTGTTCTGTTTCAGCATTCACAGTATAAATAAGCTCTAAACACACACACACACACACACACACCACACACACTTGTATAGCTCCATCAGAGGAGAGAAGAAGGTTGTTGGAAGAATCCAAATGAGCAGAAGCACTATTCAGGATCATGTTTACACTATCGGGTCAAAGGTGAAACTCCTTCTCAAAGGAAAAAAACTACATTTAGGTAAACAAAAACAGGCGTCTCTTTCCTGAATCCAACCCAGCTTCAGGTGTTTCACAATCAGAGTCTTTACTCAGGTAATCTGGAATGTGTATCCATACAAATCTCTTAGAACGGATTCATCCTCACTCCCAGAAAAACCGGTTTTCTGTTCCAGAGTCCAGCGAGGTCAGAGGTCGGATCAGAACCCCGCGTGGTCCGGTGGTCCTGACCACACACACTGTGACTGATTAAGTGTGTGTGCTGATGAAAGTTTGGACTGATTGTTGGGCAAATTGATGTAATTTGGTTGTCCTGAGCCAGCTGATTGTAGACCAGAACCAAACGGGTCTGCAGAACCTTCACACGAAGAGGCGGTCAAACATTCTGTCCCATACAGAAGCAGACTGGAGGTAGAGTTGGACAAACCTTTCTTATTTGTGTTGAATCTACACAGTTTCCTGGCCAACACTAACGAGACCAGCGCCTTCCCCAAGTGTCTCAGAGGACAGCAGTGTCCACGTTTTAGATGTAAGACATGAAGTTTGACAGAGGAGTGACCGAAGCCATGCATGGTTAAATGAAAAGCCAGTGTTAAACCGTGGACATGAATCGGCCGGGAAACAAACTTTGCAGCATTTAGCCGCCGTTCTAGTGGACGGCTTCCTTCCCACTGGCTGTGAAGTGTTTTGGATGCATCCACTAAGGACGACTCGCTCATGTTTCAAGTCTTATTTTTTTAGGCGCTACAATTCAAGAACAGGTCAAGCTCCGTAGTTCAGATCAGGCCAGACAGGAATTCAAACACAAGAGGAGTGTAAACCATCCAGAAACTTTAAAAATAAAAGCCATGTGCAGATTTCCCGTTTCTTAACTAATCAAAACCATACGTTGCTTCCTGTGAAACCTCCACAGCCGAGGTAAACGGAACACAAAGTAAACCATCCATCTTTCTCCTCGCTCATCGTGTGAACTTCTGAAATCACGTCATGTTGCAATTCACCTTTGACTGTGACCTCACAGGACCAGCTGTGTGGAACGCTTTCACTCCTGTTTCTCGTGTAAAACTCTTCCCGTTGGAAGGGAACTCGCAGGTAAAACGCCTCATGCATCCGGTGGAAAGGAGGGGTTTGAGTTCACCTATAGTCCTACCCAGGTGGTCTCAGTCACACCTCCGGTCATGGAAGCTGAACGATGGTCTGGAATGTCGGAGACTTCCCCGACTTATTTCTCTATGACGACTCATGAGTCTAGAGCCGATTCCACTAAAGGAGTTCTGGAAAGTCTCTGGGTGGGAGAAGAGCGAACAGAAGATATGATTGCTCGCTCCTTTCGGCTACAAAATTGGGCCATTCAGGACTTTGCCCAGACGTCAGCATTTCGCCACTGCCTCGGTAGTGAGTGATGTCACTGATCAGCACCAAAAGACATCTACATAGATTAATAATATTAAATGTTTTATTCCGTCAAAGTTCACTGTAACTTCATTAAGCCAGCGACCTACCATGGTGTTCAACCTCTCCACCGTGTTGAGTTGTGTTACAGACCACTTCATGCTCACAGGTCGTTCCCCCACCCCCCACGACAACCGCACATGCTAGAACCGTTCTCAGGTGCAATGGAACGCCACCCAAACCATGTAGAGTTGAATCAACCCAAACCTGCTGATTAGGTACTGATGGAAATGCAGCATTATGTCCTATGCTCCTGTGTCACTGTAAATGCGTCCACGTACCAATTCAGTGGAATTCCTATTGAAAATGTACCGTTTTTTATTTTATTGTATTTCGAGTCCTTTTATGTTTTTTTTTTAATTCAGTTTCCACTTCTAACTTTAGAGAGCTGGTATCTGGTGTTGGACCTCAGTGGGAGGAGCCATAGCTTGAAACTTGTTCAGGGGAAGTCCATTCATAGAAGATGCACGTTTGTATGATCTTCATCTCCAGTCTGCATTCAGAGCAAAACTGAGACTTCTCCAGTGTCCCAGAACAAAGCCGATTCATTAAAAGCATTCCCCTAACAGCCAATCAGATGGTCCGTTCCTAAAGGCTCTGTTGGTTTGTTGATGTCTGGTTGTCAGCTGAAGGTCTGATGGATGCTTGGTTCTAGATACCGTAGCACCTTCATCTCTGTGATGCTCAGATTAAAGGATTTGGCCGACCCGCCTCCTTCTCGCTCCATCCATCTGTCCACGTGGAGCGGTACTGGCGCCCTGGTTCTGCTTCCAAGCAACAAAACCTCCTCAGCATCCTATATATTCAGTGCAAGAGTGAAACATAATCCACATTTATTTTTATATCTGATGTGCTTGTTTTGTTCATTCCTTTTGGTTTAAATGTGGCTTTTGAACACTTAATGCATTGTTGTGGTTTCTAAAGATGTTCCAGCACCTTATCATGATCTATAGCTTTCCCAGTGTCCCACGTATACCTGGCATTGGTAAACTAGGTGTGTGCAATAATATGAAAAAGGTGTTCTGATCCAGGATGTTGCCCGTTCTTTGACTGTGTCCCATCTTGCATTGCTTTGGTTTTGAGCGTGGAGGCTGGATCAGCAATTGGTTTGTCGCTAAAGCCGTGGACAACATCAGCTCCGAGCGACTGGGTCACATCGCTGGCAGGTCGAGAATGTTCAACAACTCACCACACAAGACTCCATGTGTAACCTGCAGTGTCAAAGTTCATGCACAAAGGCAATAAAATCTTGGTTGTGTTGTCCATTTTCTAGTCAGTGATTCATAGCAGTGAAGAACAGCTTGTTTAACCAATACAGTCTAAAAAACACCTTCTAGATCCGCACCAGGCCTTTCAACCAGATGCGTAAGCATACTGTAATGTCCGGGAAGCAGAGGTGTGACCAAGTCACTGCTTTGCAAGTTACAAGTCTTTCCAGTCAGTTTCAAGTCAATGATGTGGAAGTCCAAGTCAAGTCCATGTCTTTAACTTTGAATTTTCAAGACATATTCAAGTCATCTAGATGTCCAGCTTCAATTTAATGACGATGATAATAAATACATTCCAGAAATAAAGCTTTATTTATTTGCTCAAACAAGCAGAAAGTGCAACTGAAACTGATTATAAACAAAGTGCTGCTGCATTTAGCAGAACAAGATCAAGCCCAGAACCATGAATGATTTAGGATTTTTGTCCATGTCGTGTCACTTTTGTGCTAAAATATCAAATATGCTCAAGTCATCAAGTCAATAGATGTGAGTCGATTCAAGTTGCAAGTCATAGGCATTCAAGTCCGAGTCAAATCCTAAGTCTTTATAGATTTTATCAAGTCAAGTCAGAAGTCATTAAAATAATGACCCAAATCTGACTTGAGTCCAAGTCATGTGACTCAAGTCCACACCTCTGCTGGGAAGCGTACAGGTGCTGGTCTTAAATAGCCTAGTGAACTAGACCAAATTCTTGCTTTGCAAAGTTTGGTCTAGGCACGCTCCATTGGAACCTCAGCAGCTCCTACCAGGACTCTGGCTAGCCAATCACAGCTCTCTAGAGGGGTTTCAAACACATAAAGAGCTGTGATTGGTCCATAATGGTGGGCCAATCATAGTGCTCTATCTGCTTAGTGAACAAATCACAGAGCTTTATCCGCTTTGTGGGCGAACGGACAACGGTAGTGTTTGAATTTTCTTTTCTGCTTTATCCACTTTTACTTCAGTACGAGACACATTTCCTTTTAGCTCTCTGAGATCTTCTGAGACAAAGTTCGCTAATACTCTTCTCGATGTTAGCTCCTTGCTCTTCGATAGCCATCTTGAGCGTCGTAATAATGCTTTCTGCCGTGTCAGTTTCCATCACTCTTTTCTTACCAGAAGGTTTTGACGGGGAGGTAGTAGGAGTGATAAGAGCTCTCTTATTTGAGCCCAGGTTTTTTTCCATCACACACAGCTAGAAGTTTGCACCTTAGAATTTGTTTTGCTTCTTATAAAGAATTTTAAGACAGAGCGAGTTCTGTAACAGACCGTTCACAGCGCCGCCATCTTGGTCCTCGTTCTCGAAGCTGTCACGACCCAGATAACAAACTCCTTTTGGCTCTAGTTTGGCAAGCCAGTCTTGGCACTCTTTTGGATGGAAAGATGGGCCAAATATGGCCCAAATTAGGTACGCCAAAATAGAATTATGGATTGTCAAAAGGTTGCCATTAGTCTTCCAAAATAAATTGTGAAATTCCAAAGCACAACCATAACTATACCAAAAGAACCCCAAAACACCACAAAATGACCAAAGGATATCAAAGTGTAACCAAAAGTTTGCCAAAAGATTACCCAAAATAAAATGTGGCTTTCCAAAGCATAGCCATAACCATCCCAAAATCCCATAATAAAGCCAAATATGAACCATAACTTATCCATAATTAGCTATAAGTTTACCGAAAGATTGTATTTTATTCTGAACCTTATGCTAAATTTAATTTAACATTTTAATAGACTATAAAATGTCCTTGTACAGAAGATTCAGATTTTGTGCCTCAGTTAAATAGCCTTGTGAAATAGCCTAGGTTACTGTGTGTACGTGGTGCATGAACATAAAACCAAACAAGATTAAAATTTGAATATTTTATTTATTTATTTTTTTCAATTCACACGCGGAGGGGGGTGACGTCAGCCGGGAGGTCAGATGTTGTGAGGAATTGTGCTCCCCTGAAATATTCTGTCCCCCCGTGTCGGGAGATCGCACTTCTGGTTATTTTCACAACATTTGTGATAAACTTTTACGGGAAAATGATGTAATGTAATGTAATAATGTTATGCTTGTGATATTTGTGATATATTTCCTCCTAAAAACAATAAAAAGATATAGTAAAACATTCTTGTTCACTTTTGGTGTGTTCTTGCTGTGTTGAGTTTCAAATTCGATCTTTCAGTTCTTTTAAAACACAGAAAATGTTTATTTACCTGCAACGTTTTGTTTGCGGCTGCAAACGTCATCAGGCTGACGCCGATGGTGGCATCACTTCCTTCGTTTATCCTCGTGCAGCAGAGGACGTTGTTACAGAACGACCCAGCTTGACCCAGCTGGGAAAATATGACCTTTGTCACAAATTAGAGGCCATTCATGACGCTACACCAATGTGAAAACTCCATCATCTCTGTTCATGGTCCTGGGTCCACATCTCCTTTTTTCCACCCATCTTTTGTATTTTTGTTGTTCTGTGTTTATGATCTGTGTTCTGTCCCAGTCTGCTGATTTCTTTCTTCTTCTTGTGTCGCTGCTCTTGTGTGTTTTCGACTTCTTTCCTCCTCACACTCCTTTCTATGTTCTATTCGTGAGTTGAGTTGGCCTCTGGCTTCTCCTAAGTATGTTTTATTGCACAGTTTGCATGGGATTTCATTTATATGACCTAAAACTTTTGTCCTGCTGTCTTGTCTTTTGGTTGTACTAGTCTCTTTCAGTCATTTATGGTGTTGCCAGTGTGTTTATGTTGTGTTTTTTCATCATTATTTTATGGGCGTTTCACCAACATTGGCATGGCTCTGAGGAAGGCTATTAGCTGAAACTTGTCAACAAAAAAGGATAAAAACACATCTTTCTACCACCGTGTGCAGAAAAGACACGATGCAAATTTACACATTCTATGTTTTCCATATGTTGTGTACATACATACATACATATACATACATACATATATATATATATATATATATATATATATATATATATATATATACACACACACACACACACACACACACATATATATATATACATATTCCTCGTAGGTGGTTTGTTTAATTTAAGACTGAAAGAAAATTAAATGAATAGGAGGTAAAACTTGGGGGTAGGGACAAATAAGTAAATACTTCTGCCTACTCCTTTTCAAACAAATAATGAAATTATGTTTTGTAATGATACATGTGTGAAATGTTTGAAATAAAAATGAACTGAACTGAATCAGTAAGCTTGATGTTGAACAAAAATCATCTCACCTGAACACAAAGAGCTCTGTGACGCCAACCATCTCTGTTGAAAGGCTTCGTCTTGCAGAAAATTCTGTCACTTGGAAAAAAGTGCAGTACTAAAACTTTCATGTACTTTTAAGTAGACGCAGCACTTATGAAGAGCAGTAATCTGTAAGTGCAGCAGGTGGCAGTAGACACCCATCAGACGTGTGTCCGAGGCAGAATTCCCTCTGATGAAGCTGTGCTCACTTCCCTGTGACCTGTCCTGTTTGTGTCTCTTCCTGAGGAGTCCGATGTCCTACCTGTCAGTCCAGCATAAGGCACAGCTGCAGAACTCCACAGTAATCTGTGGCACTGTGAAAATTATATTTATTCATAAAACAAAAGCAGATTTTAAAGGGAAGGAGCATTCTTGGCCTGGTTTGAACAGCTAATCGGCTTTGTCACTAACTCTATTCTCTGTGCTAATCTCAACCTCCCAGCACACCCTAACTGGGCACACAGAACAAAGGTGCGGCTCTTTTTAAATGAAATTACAGTGAAAAAGCCTCTTGTAATCCTCTGTTTTCAGCCTTCTTAGCAACGCTGCTGTTTCTTCGCTCAAACGCAGCTCAGTGCTAAAATCCTAATCCTAATTTTTCAAAGAAAAAGATAATAGGACACCTCAGATGAGCGCTGATTGCTAGAATGTTTGAGAGTGACAAGTGGCTGTGTGAAGACACACAGTTCATCTTGCCACCACACAGGTTGGCTTGCCCTTCACTCTGAATTCACACTCTGATCAATCAAGGCTTGAAATTAGCAGCTTGTTAGCGCGTGTTGTCCTCAATCAGAGCCCTTTTGGACCCGCCGGCTGAGACGCTCCTCAGCTCTCCTTCATTCTCTGCTTTTATTCACATGTTGTTTTGAATAGTTTAGTGGAAATGTTGGTCCAGAATGTTCCGCATGTCAGGACTTAATGCTCTAGTTTGTTCAGTGGTGTTGAGGCGTTTTCTGCTACAGCTGCTGTACGGTATTGAACCATCAGACATATCCAGATATTTAGAACACTGTAGCTGTAGCTCACCATGAATGTGTGCATGCATGGGTGAAGGACTGATGTGCTGTGAAGCGCCTTGGGGGGTTGTAGAACCCTAGAAGGCGCTATGCAAATGCAGTGATGTCGTGGGGTTGTGAAGTGGTTCATGGAACGGAACGGCGTGGACCCACTGTGCTGTAGGTGGAGCAGCAATCTGGGCCCGCGTGGCTGGTGGCAACAATGGCAGAAGAGATGCTTAAACCTTGGAGGTTGGTGGAGCAAGTGTGGGAACCTGGACTAAGGAGGCTGGCGTCAATTAAAGGAGTCGAGACACTGAAACCAACGGAGGAGGTATGCCCAGAGAGGAGGCGGCCTGTTCGGCCGGCCTGGTGAAGTGGAAACATGCTGGGAAGTTTCAGTAAAATTAGCCTGAAGTTCTGACAACAGACAGAATATTTACAAGCAAATAAATATTAACTTGCATGACAGGCATGGTGGATACACACATAACGATATAAACACAAGTTTGTGTGGTTCAAGGCGTGAGGAAAAGCGGATTAGAAAATGACTTCTAAAGCCCCGCTCACTCAAATTATTTTTTTGTTCAGGGGAGCCATGAGCCGACCAGGAGGGGAGTAGACTATTACTACCCAGTGCTGGACTGACCATAGGGCATAGCGGGCAACTGCCCGCTGGGCCGACCCTTTCATCTTTTATGGGCCGGTGTCTGTTTTTTTTTTTTTTTTTTTTTTTTTCTGGCCTCTAGTTGTTGCGGACAACTTGTCCGCGCCGCCCCACGCGACGCCTCGTAAAAGTTGGTGGATTGGCCAATTGGTAATAATACACTCTGGGCTGGACCAATAGCCAGAGGTCTGATGCACCCGCCAGTTGTTTGTGAATCTCAGTAAACAGACAGACGAGCTTAACAAAATGGAGAACAAAAAACGGAAAGGAGGAGCGGAGAAAATTCGACTAAAAAAGAAACTGGCCCTTCAGGCTGATGCTGGCACATGTGTTAAAATCTCACAGTTGTTTGGTAGTGAAGGTTC